TTTTTTTTTTTTTTTTTAACCAGTCTGTAGCTGAAAAGCACGTTGGGCTAGAGGAATAACCATTAACATCCCTTGCTACGTTTGGCAGCCAGGAGTGACTGTAAACATCTGCTGTAAGGAAGGAAAAAACAACCCTGATCATCTCTTTTCCTTAACTCAGCAGTCTGTGCTCAGCCAGATCTCCTCTGTCTTGGATAAAAGAGGAGATAAACTAGCAAAGGAGCTTTTTGCAGGGGAAGCACATGTTAATTACAACTGCTTATCTGTGATCAGTTTAAGGTACAGATACAAACCAGCAGTTACCTTGAGGGGTGGTGTTTTGTGGCTTTTTTTTTTTTTTTCCATAAAAACCCTGCTTCCCTTGCAGGCACTTTGGCTCCCTCTATAGCTGTGAAAGCCATGAAAGCTAATAATTTTCATCTTAAGAATAAATGCCAAGGAATTAAAACAAAAATCAAAAGTCAAACAGTGTAAGCTTGCCACTTTTCAAAAACAAAAAAAAAAAAACACAACCCAAAAAAACGCCGAACACCAAAACAGGGAGGGGGGAAAAATAGTCGTCAGCTCTACAACCCTACAACCCTACAACCTTGGCTTTGGAAGAGTCATTGACAGAAATGCTGACTTGCAGCTTTTTAGGGTGTTGGGTTTTTTTTTTGCTTTTGTGTTCATTTCTTTTTTTCCTTAACCTGTTGTTTCTCTCCAGTACTGTATTTCTGCCCTTCGCTGCCCTTGGCAGGCTTACTTGGTCTTCCAAAGGCTTTTTCTATGAAGCTTTCAGTCACCTATAAAACATAATGGGAAAAGTATCACCCCAACTGCATAGATGCCCAAATACTTGTCACTCCTTTCAAAATCTGCCTTCCCTCACTTCCCCTCTCCATCACTAACTTCTGCATCCACCACTGAGCAGCACATTGCGCTCACCTTTGCTGCAGCACCTGCTTCACACTGGTTGGCTATAGACATTCTCACGTTGATTAATTACAGAAATAACAATTCAGAAAGCAGATAAGAATCAATAACAATTTTCCTCATGCATTTTGTAGCAAGCATTCTGCCAAGCAGACCTGTTCCTACAGACTTGGCTTTAGTAATGTACACCAGTGGCTCTACCGGGAGACCTAAAGGAGTGATGATGATGCATAAAAACTTAATAGCTGGAATGACGGGACAGTGTGAGAGAATACCTGGACTGGGGTAAGAAACACTGAGTTGTCATGTGCATGGAGAGATAAAACAGAACCTCCAAAAGTACACGTTTATAGAAAGTCTGTTGTTGGCATCAGGTGTTATCAAATTTCTTCATTTTATTGTGAGTCCACTAATCTTTAATTTATAAGAAATACCTTGTGTTTGTGAACTTACCCTGTCGTTTGAAAAGGACGCCCTTCTAGCTCGTCTCACATGCTGTTTCTACTTTTTTTTATTATTACCCTTACCTTTAGGTCTGTGATGAATTTTTGCGCTCTCTTGTGCATCAGAAGATGCTACCAGATAAGGAGATTTCTCATCTAGTCACACTTGAGAAATTTTTTTTAGATGTTTTCAGACAGCTAGAATGACTTTAGGAAGTCTGTCAGAGCCTACCGCTTCCATTGATCTAGAGACACCACCGCTGGATGGATAACGCACGTGCTGTAGAATCTGCTCAAGTATACTTTACTAAATGAGCAGAGAAGTAATAAATTGTGCATTGATGATAGTAAAACCAACTGCAAATTCTCTGACATTATTATTTTGAGCATGTTTTTCATGAATGTGGGTGTTTGTCACTGCATTCACGAAGGGTTTGATAGCTGAAATAAGATACATTGCTGAACTCCTTTTATGATAGGATATAAAACCAGTTCTGACTTGATGCTGAAAGCTTCTGGTAAGTTACAGTTCTGAGTTTCTTGCTGAGAACTCTCTTAAGAAATTATTTCCTGAAATAAGCCTCAGTGCTTCAGCGATCAGCTCGCTCTCTACTCAACTGTTTTAGAAGTCATCAAAGAATAACTATGATGACTGGCAAGAATTTGTAAATCATTAGTGATTATTTTAAAATATAGTGATTTCATCCTTAACTTCGTACCTGGGATGACAACTCCCACAAAGAGAGGAAGTAGCAGTGCAGCACTAAGGAATCTTTGAGTTTTCTAGAAAACAAGGCAAATCCTGTAATTCGTACTGATTTCAGTAAGGTAGGATTTTCCTCATTTTGTTTATAAACCGTGGTTTAACACCAGACCCTTCTTGCATGCAGAAGAATAAGCCTCACTTGTGATCCAAGTCTTTCAAAAAGTAATTACTAAGCACACAATGAAACTGTCACACGGTATTTTCAGGCCACTTGTCCATCGTTGTTAATTCGATAATCCTCTCCTTTCTTAGGCCCAAGGATACTTACATCGGTTATTTGCCTCTGGCCCACGTATTAGAATTGACAGCAGAAATTTCTTGCATCACGTACGGCTGCAGGATTGGCTATTCCTCTCCGCTCACACTGTCGGATCAGGTGAGGAGCGCGGGAGAAGCGAAACCAAACTTCAGCTTTGGCAGTCTGTATTCTCCTGGCTTAGCGACCCTCTTTCGTTAAAGAAAAGCTGATGTATATGGCATACTTGAGAAATGTAGGTTTTTTCCCAGAAAACGATGCAAACTAACATTCCTGGTGAACTATAGCAGCAGGTCATACCACATAAATTTTATTAAAACCTTTACTTGTATGATACCTAGGAAGTCTAAAAGAAAACCTAATAAACATGTATAGCATTATCCACTGGATATCAAGATAAGAACAGCTATTAATAGATTAGCTGAACATAAGACTGGTTAAAGTGATTTAAAGTTTTTGGTCTCACTTTATCAGTTCTTTATCCAGTTATTGTAGATCATCTATTTAGCCCTTTGCTTTCTTCCATTTAACAATTAAGAGAAATAAGAGCAAATTAAGCTGGGAAAGAATCCTTCTGTAGGTTTTGCTGGTATAGAAATCGCATCAGGCAAAAGAACCTCCTGGTGGAAGATGGAGGAGAAAGCAGGTGCTGGAGGGAGGAATTAAGAGAAAGATATACAAAGTGTATTTAACCAGGTTGGGCTTGTAAAACATCTAGTGTTTTGGTTGGAATTGCTGTTAGTCATTGCTTTTTCCAATCACAATGGGAAAACAAACTTACACAAGAAATGTTTTTCAGAGGGACAGGGGAAGAGATTTAATTAAATTAAATGCTGATATATCTCCCTATTTTTTAGTCCTTTTTCTAAAAAGCTGCTTAGTTTTCAGCTTCATAAATTGACATTTTTTTCCTTATTACAGTCAAGTAAAATTAAGAAGGGAAGCAAAGGAGACTGTACTGTACTTAAGCCTACACTGATGGCAGCTGTGCCTGTAAGTATGCAGAAGCAGATATGTTTAGCAAAAAAAAAATGATGTTTTTATCTTGTTCATGCTAGAAAAATCTATTTACTAACATTTTTTTCTCTTCATGTGTGAGTAACTGTCACTAATAGGAAAAAAGCAGAATACAGAAATCCCAGTTGTCATTGCTTGAACCGAGTACTGATGTTGCACACGAGCACAAGAATATATGTATGCTGAAGCCAAGATCCTTTTTGATCCCAAACTGTAAACATGTTGTAGTAGTTACAAGTGATGTTTTACTGGGCTACTGAGACAACAATAGAATACAGAAAGTCTTTGACATTCAGAGTCTGAAACTCCTTTTTGCACAGGGAGAAAGCAGGGTGGCTTTGGCTAAGATGGACACTTTAAGATATGGGCATTTGGCCGACTTACGGAACTGACCAAGTTAAGCTGTGCTGCCATAGTTGTTGGCTGCTCAATCGCAGCTGCTTGTCTCCAAGGTAACACTTAGGCTAAGTCTCTCTTCGTTTCCTCTTACAAGAAAAAATGGTCAGGAGACTATAACTCCTGTTGCTTCTGTAGCTTAACTTTGGTCTTTGGGTGACTAGGAAACTGCCTTCCACAAGGTCTTAGTGTTACCCAAAAAATACACAAGTGTTTGCGTCTTTCTAATGCAAAAAACCTTCCTCATATGTCCTGGAATCACATGTGCCTCTTACGATCATATCACATCTGTGGCTCATAAGACTGGTAGCACCAGCTTTTGCCACGTGGTGGTGGTGGGTGAGTATGAGGATTTAATCTCATTTAAGAATAGTGAGTTTGGGTTGGATTTGGTTGTTCTGCAGCATCTTTTGGGAATAGCCAAGAGTTTTAAAATCAATTACTCACTTGCATTTTTTGTTTTATAAAATAGTAATCAACCCCAGCTTTTTGGAAAATAGCAATTTAAATTTATTTCCTGGGGAAAATTCAAGTGCTAGACTACTGTCAAAAACAGTGTAAGTTTTAAATATGGACATAATCCCTCTTGGAAGGACTATATTTCATGCATGTGGGGAAAAAAAAAAAATTCCATACAGACAGTTTCATATGAATTAAATGCAGAACAGAGATAGTGCTGAACCCCACCAAAATGTCTTGATTCTACATGCTATTACAAAGAAGTCAGCAGAGAAAAACGAAAATTGAAACTGATGATCTATTTTCAGTTGATAGCATACAGGATTTAGAGCGCAACAATCTACAGCAAAGAAGCAAAAACCTTCAGAAAACCCTAGGGGGAACAGCACTTACATAACGTCATCTAACACTTCTCTTCCTAGAACTATTGTCTTTTTTTATCATCAAAACATCATAACATCACCAGTGATTAGAACGTATAAGGAGTGAAATGGAAAATAATTCTAACAGAATCCAGAGACACAAATATTTCTAAATATTTGATTCAATCAGAACATTGTAATAAGGGTTAATGGTTCCTCTCAGCCTTTGTAATTCTGAATACTTTGTCATGCCTCTCTAGTCTTTCCAAAATGCTACAATTAATTCTGCTTTAAGATATCTGGCTTTTGGAAATACTGGATGATGTTCTATGGGTAAACCGGGATGAAAATAACATACAGTTTTTCTGAAATTCTAGTTTGTCTAAATCCCAATCATGAAGATTTTAAGGAACTACTCAAAAACACTAATGAGAGTTCTAATAGGACTTTAATATTCTGATCTCTGATATTTCAAAGTACATCATTTTCATAGCTTTCTTTTCAGTTTTAAATTTGACTTTTCTTAAAAAGCACAAATAATTCAAAGCATTGTGGTCTGTGACAAACCAGAAGGAGCCAATCCTTAAACTTCTGTTAAATACTTCACCAGCCTGAACACTATTAAGTTCTGTCTATTTTAGTGATGTTAAGCTTATTATTTTACTAGAAGTTAATTTCTCATCTGTGGCAGAATCCCAGAGTGGTGAGGGTTGGAAGGGTCCTCTGGAGCTCCCCCAGTGCCACCCCCGCCAGAGCAGGGGCACCTCCAGCAGTGGCACAGGACGGCGTCCAGGCGGGTTTGGGATGGCTCCAGAGGGGGAGACTCCCCCACCTCTCTGGGCAGCCTGTGCCACTGCTCTGCCACCCTCACAGGAGAGAAGTTCCTCCTCGGATTTAGATGGAACTTCCTATGTTCACATTTGTGTCCATTACCTCTTGCCCTGTCACTGGGCACCACTGAAAAAAGACTGTTCTCATTGTAGTTTCTTTGTCAGGTAACTAGAATTACTGCAGCCACGTTGCTCTGAAAGCTGAAAAACTTCCCTTGGGAAAGGAAGTGGTGAAATGAAAACTCTTAGCTCGTCCCCTTGTGCTTGCCACTTGCTGTGGATAAAGTGCAGCATCAGGACTCCTAAGCACCATAAATGTTGCGTGGCCTTCAGCAAAGAGATTTAGCTAAACTTGAATTCAAAATTCTAAATCAGTTCGTCACATTTTAAGTACAGGTTAAGGTGTTATCAATAACGTGAGCAGTGTAACATAGCAATTGCTATTACACCATGGCGCGTTACCCCAGACTTGTGGCTGATGGAGACGACATCTTCAGAATAAGGGGCAGAAAGTATTTTAAAACCAGATCTGAGGTTTAGAAAGCTGTTTGTAGACACGCGAGGGGTGCTGTGAATTACTGCACTATGCCTGAAGGCTTGTGATGGTTACCCAATTACTTGGCCTTGACTCACCTGTCTGCCCAGTTCAGGGCAAGGTTTCTAACAGAAGGTTCATGCTATAGCACCGGGGTTCTTCCTCTCTAGTGATACTGGTGCGAGGAGAAAAAAAGCAAATGGAGGAAAGTAAGGTTAAGTCACTAATTTTCTACTGCATTTTTGATACTTCACTCCACCCATTTTAAATAGTCAATTTATAGACCGTTGCAGCTTGGAGCTAATTGATCACACATTAAAAGCATTAGAGTTAAGCATTGCCTAACCAATGAGGCAGACATTTTTCACTCTTACTGTATTACCCATTTTAAAAGAAGAATTGGGGGGGGTTATCTTATTTTTAACATGGAATTTAATTTACACATGCTAGTCTATTCTATGTGGTAATTTTCCTTGTGTTTTTTAACACTTGTAGGAAATAATGGACAGAATTTATAAAAATGTCATGAGTAAAGTTCAAGAGATGAACTATATTCAGAGAACTCTGTTCAAGATAGCCTATGACTACAAATTGGAACAAATCAAGAGGGGGTACGATGCACCTCTGTGTAATGTGTAAGTATAATTCATGGTCCAAGTGTACCTTCTTCCTTGTGATTTGTTAAGACAGTCTAAAAGAAGAATCATCTAAGCTATCTGACATCAGACACTTCTCATCCAACATGCAAGTATCATCTAATGACTAACAGAAATAATCTAAATTCTTACTGGAAACGGATAAGATTTAATGGTAGGAATGACTAATCTTCAGAACAGATGACTAGTAGTTTTCATTGGATTGCCTTTGTTTTAAGTAATAAAATTGGAATGTTTGTTTAGTTAAGTTACAGGAATTCTGCCCTCTTCAAGTGTTACACAAGAGGTAATGGGTTTTGGTTATCCCTGCTGTCCACTAAAATCTGTGAATGATGAAGTTGATTTTTAAGGTGTTCCAGATAGGAAGGAAGAAGGTTTGTGTCTTTTTCTTTTTATAAAAGTGAGCCGAGTGAATCATTTTTAATGCTTTTTTCCTTCTTTCAAGGCTACTGTTTAAAAAAGTAAAGGCACTACTGGGAGGGAACGTCCGTATGATGCTTTCTGGAGGAGCACCACTCTCGCCACAAACACAAAGATTCATGAACATCTGTTTTTGCTGTCCTGTTGGTCAAGGCTATGGACTAACAGAAACATGTGGAGCTGGAACAATTACAGAAGGTAGTTAAAATGCTTCTGGAAATACAGATATATATGAGGGTTTGTGGGATTTTTGGAAAGTCAAAATAGCTGTAGTTCTTAACTGCAATAAAGTAACTTGAGATAAGCTACTGCTTTATTTATGGCTTAGAGTTTATACTTCAAATGATAAAATAATCTCAGTATTCTTCCTTGTTCTCTCCCTAAGTTGCTGATTACAGCACTGGCAGAGTTGGAGCTCCTCTGATTTGTTGTGAAATAAAACTGAGAGACTGGCAAGAAGGTGAGAGTATTAAATGTTTTGATTTCAGGGTAATTAATTTAACCACTGCTGGTGGTTCTTTGCCTATCTGCTTAGCGAGGTGTAGCACGTGAAATAATTGTTCTTTCTCTTTTGTAATAGTCATCAATTTGCTCGCATTAATTTCAAAGTTTTGAAGTATTTTCTTAGCAGCAGGATATACGTTAAAAATAATTACATGGGGGTTTCCTTGTTTTCAGGGGGTTATACCAATAAAGACAAGCCTAATCCTAGAGGAGAAATTATAATTGGTGGACCTAATGTCTCAATGGGATATTTTAAAAATGAAGAGAAGACAACAGAAGAGTTCTCCATTGATGAGAATGGTCAGAGATGGTTCTGTACGGGAGATATAGGAGAATTTCATCCGGATGGGTGTCTGCAGATTATAGGTTGGCCTCAATTTTTGATATCTTAATCTGTTACAGGATCTTGACTAAACATAATTATAAGCATGCTGTTAATCCTGTTGGCTTTGCCAGGGCTAATCTACTTAAGGTTACCTGCTTGCAGAATCACAGTGTAAAACACATTCCCAAAAGTCCTCACAGCTGTAGTAAAATTTTGGAAGTGATGTGGTTTCCTGTGACATTATCACTATCTAAATTTAGCACATGGACTTTAAAGAAAAAATGTAAGATTAATTTTTGGTATTAATTACAAAGCTTTTAAAATCAGAGTCCCCATCGCTTTCACACAAGTTGTGTGACAAGAAGTGTAGTGGCTTTGCATATGAGTCTATGGAAATGCCAAAGTTTAAATGGGACGAGCTTTTTTATTTTTCCGTTCCCCCTCGACTTGTAGATCGTAAGAAAGACTTGGTAAAGCTACAAGCAGGAGAATATGTATCTCTGGGCAAAGTAGAGGCAGCACTGAAGAACTGTCCATTGATTGACAATATCTGTGCTTACGCCAAAAGGTAAGACTGGTATTAATTTAGAAACTCCATTTCGGGTAAACATAAAGTATAGGCTCTGACTCACTTCTCTGATGATATACTGCAGTTTTCCTACCAGAGTGCCAGTTACAAACAGCATCTCTGAAGTAACACAGGTGCCCAGATTCCCTAAAGCCTGAAGAAATTACTTATGTTTTTCTGTTGGCATTTCTCCTTTCCTAATACACTCCAGTTCCATCCCACCCCTTCCCCAAACAGGTACCATTCTATTTTGGCATGCGTTTGGGCTTTCTGTCAGAATAACAGAAAAGGAGATCAGGTGCAAAGCGTCCAGATTAAAAGCTCTCCACTGGGTTTTAGAAATAGTCCCAGTCTCTCCTCTCCCTCCCCTCAATTGAACACGCTATGTGAAGGGAAACTGAAGAGAACTAGCTAAACACTGGATGTAGCTGGGAAGCTAAACTGGGATGTGCACTTGTGAAATTACAGCAAAGCACAATACCAATCAAACCTAACATTGTAAAACAACTTAGAATAGCTTTTATAAGTCATTAGTTGTGAAGGTTTAATGTACAAGAAGGATTCTATATGGGGGAATAACTACAGTTCAGAAAGCACCGTGGAACATCAAATAAGCATTTTTACACCCTGAAATAGAAGTCTCAACTTCTATTGAGGATCTTTTTTCTTTCCTTCTCTTGCCATCCTGTGGTAGCGACCAGTCTTACGTGATCAGTTTTGTGGTTCCTAACCAGAAGAGGCTGACAGCGTTAGCTGAGCAGAAAGGCATCAGTGGAACCTGGGTAGATATTTGTAACAATCCTACAATGGAAGCTGAAATACTGCGAGAGATTAAAGAAGTGGCAAACAAGAGTAAGTAAAATGGCATTTTGCGCTAGCTGATCTCATGGTGCTTATCCAGCAAAACCTTTCAGTTATCCTCACTAACTGCTTTACTTTCTTCCTATCGCCTCTGTATCTGCCAAAACTTAACAGTTTAATCAGAGGCAAAGACCACATCAAATTGTTGCCTGTTATCCCCGGAATTGACATACATTTTGGTTGTGTTAACTACTTCATCTTCTTTTATTTTCTAAAAAGCTGAGATTGTTTTCAACTAAATTCTAGAGACATGTTACTTGTCTAATGCAGTTAAAATAAGGTCCAAAAGAGCTGTCGATTTTAAAGGAAAGTTACAAGACATTTGCTGGTAAGAAAACTAGTTAAGCGAGAGATTTCAAAGCTTTTTTCCCCATGCAACTTTGTCCCCTACGGCTTTGAACAACCACTATCCTCGTGGTCGTAATGGCTTAAAAGCCTGCTGTTCCTTGCTGTGGTACTGAATGAGCAAAAGCCTCAGCAATCCTTTATGGGGCCAAAAGAATAACAAACTAACCAGCAAAAGAAGTCTCTAAAGCATTTGGCACCTCATACAAGGAAGCAGTAAAACTGGACTTAAGCACATGTGAAGCACTGCTGTGGAGAGGAGAATCTGCCTTTTGCAACTAAGAAAACTAGAATGGAAGGCAGTATTGAGTCTTGCCTTTAAAAAAAAGTAAATTAATCCGTAGGTCTCAGACTTGGCTTTAAACACTTTAATCTGTGTTTTTCAATCATGAACTAGGCAAACTACTATCCATATAGCTTTGTTTATTCAAAATCTTTGCTTACACATACTTTTTACCTTCTAGATAGTAATCTGCCATTGAGATACAACTGATTTATTTGAAACTTTTTTCCAAAACTATTTTAAAAGAGGTAATTCTCATTTTTAGCAGAATATAATATACCTCCATCGTGAGCAGGCATACATCCAAATAAGATTAAAGAGTATATTGCAATACCAGTTTGACATTAGAGAGGAGGAGAGCTCCCGGGGACAGCCGTACAGCCAAAGGTCCCAACTGTCCTACGTTTGCTGCCACCCAGAGGCTGCGCTGCCACCAGTGGGACTAGAAATTCAGATACAAGTCAACGGATGTAGGATCCTATTATAGGCCGATGTGCAGGACCTCATAGCAAAGTCTATCAAGCATTGCACACATGCAGCAGCTCCCTGCCCTGTTCCCGATGTCCCTGCCCTTCTCGCGACACAGGTACCTGCCTCCCCCCTAGCTTACCTCCCTGTGGCCTATTGCCTGGGCAAGAGAGAAGCAGCTCTGGTTGCAGTGAGGCTGCGCATGTGCCAAGCCACTGCTTCCAGCTGAAGGGAAAATAAGTGACTAATGTAACAAAAATACAGATAAGTCCCTTTATTTTGAACTCTAAAACTCTTAGGAAGAAAAAATTGGGGAAAGCATCATTCAACCACGGAAAGTATAGAAGTACTTGATTATAATTTAAATATGGAGCACATCCGCCTAGTCTGAGTTAATCTAGTTAATTACTACATTCCTACAATACAGATACAACTCTAGAGTTCAGTGGGTCCTCTTGTGACAGTAGTCTCAGCTCTTCAGGCTACACGCTCATTTTGTTGCGAGCTTTAGACTTTACACTCTCACATCCAATACAAGCTGTAAGTACAGTGTGTTATTAGAATATCTGCACACTAACCAGCAGTCAGCATCGGCACAAGATTAAATTTGCTTTCTGTAAGGTTACTTCAGCAAGTAGGTGCTTCATTAAGTAGGACACTGTATTATACAAGCTACACGGTGCTCACCTTAGATTTATTATTTTTTTTTTAGGTAGCATGAATTAGTGTTTCATTTGGCTGTGTAATCATAGTCATGCTTTTGTTTCCTCTTGTCCCTGCAGTGAAATTAGAAAGGTTTGAAATACCCATCAAAGTACGGTTAAGCCCTGAACCATGGACCCCAGAGACTGGGTTAGTAACAGATGCTTTCAAGCTGAAAAGAAAAGAACTGAAAAACCATTACCTCAACGACATCGAAAGAATGTATGGAGGCAAATAAACAAGTTACGTTGACCAGACGGTTGTGCAGATGGTTCCTTCTCATGCCTCAATTTTGGATGTCTGTGTATACTGTAGATGTCACACATTCAGAAAATACCCCAAACGCATGAATGTTTCTATGATCTCTATCAAGTACAACAGAGAATATCTTAGAGTCCAAATTCTTAATTATTAGCAGATTAGACACTGATGGTCTTCATAGAGGCTCATGTGATCATCTTCAGTTTTGAGACAGGCATCGTTATGTGAAGCAGTATGACCAGGTAATTTTATTATTACTGTGTCTCTAGCACCTTCAGACTGTTCCAACTACTCTAATTCATTCTGAATTCTCACCTATATTTCAAAGAGAAAAACTAATGTAGTTGTGATGATTCTTCTGTCATAAGTAAGATACTTAACGACAGGGGGAAAAAAAAAGCGTATTTAAAGTCTACCTTTCTCCATTTAAAAACAAGATGACAACATTAGTCAAGAACTTGCTAGAGATGACTAATAATGCACTGCTTGAGAATGGACAGATTCTGCACATCAGTTACTATCTCGAATATTTACAGTGCCTGAAAAAGAATATAAAGTACATTTACTGAAATAAAGGTGAACTGAAAAGCTTTCTAAAAACAAGTTACTTGACATTTCATTCAAGAGCATTGAATTAACTATTTCAACTTCCAACTCACCAGATAAGTTTTTAGTTGCCACTGTATTTTAATTCAAGCAGAGCTTTCCACTGGGACAGCATAAAACGAAAACAAAGCCTGGCGCTGCTACAGGAGGTACTGATGAGACATCGCCACCTGAACGCAGGATGCAAAACACGCATCTTGACTGGCAAACAACACTGAAATTGATGGGCAGTTGTCTCTAAGCAAATTTGAAACTCAAAGGAGTTTTAGGTTTTGTAGGGTTTTTTGGTCTGTTATTTTTTTTTTTTAAGAGGTGGTTGGCGGTTTTGTCTTTAAGGCACTAATTCTCTAGACCTTCACATACATGTGAGCGATGGTCCAGGTTATCTGTGTGTAATTGAGAAGATCTGGGTCTGCTTGTCTGTATTCGTATTATGGAAAGGTATTTCCGTTCACCTTTTAAATATGGTAAGCATAACAAGGCAACCAGAAACCAACAGTAGTTTCCCCACATAGTCTTGTTTTACTTACAGAAAAGTAGCCTGTGGCCAGGGAATCTTTGTTTTATGGAACTTGTAAAAAGGGACAAATCACTCTTTACAGAAATTCATTATAAAAATGTTATCTTATTAACTGGAAGTCATAGATGTGAAGAAGTGGGAAGATACAATTTAATTATAGTTCATCATTTTGTGTGCAGAATCCTGTACTGTGTCTTCTTCTGAATTGTAACTGAGCTCCCGCATCCCTGCTAGCTCTTCACACTTGAACCATAAATGCTGTAAAAAGTGGAGGCTCTTGATACGGTTCTACTTTGCACTTTCTTAATCGTTTTATATATGTTGCTTACATTTTGTACAGCTGTGGCCCTCAACTGCTATATATTACAAGTTCATTTTAAAGTATTTATAGATTTCTATTCATAATATTTGTGTTGTGTATATGATGGTTAAAAAGAAAAATTATTTGGTATTGTCACTGTACAGAAAGTAAAAGATTTTGTATGATGCTTCTCTTGACCCCACTAGCTTGCAATTTCAGGGCAAGTCTTTCCTCTATCGCATGTACGTGTATTTTTCTTTTTTTCCAGTTCAAACAGATTTTGGCAAAAATAAATCATGGCTATACGCTCATTAACTAAACTGCCCCTTCTCCTTGGGACCAACTTCAAGCTTCCCCATGCGTAACTCTCCCTGGGCAGCCCACAATGCTGCCAGCTCATCTTCCAAGAACCCTGAGGGGAAAGGGGAAAAGAAAACACGGTGTATAAAGATGACTGTATCTAGTTGTGCATGGAACTACAACAGTTGCTGAAAAGAACGAGGAAATAGCTTTTCTAAAAATGAAAATTATTTTTTTAAGACATATACAGTTGGTTTATGACAACAGGAAATACTTCCCATATCAGTAACAGCTTTTCAAGTGACTCGGTCCTGGAGCCACATTACCAGTTTTACCATGTTTAAAATTTGGTGACGATGATTGAATAGCCTTTAGTCAGCCTGTTCGCAGCACAACAGTTACGTACGTGTAAGAAAGTTCCTTGCACTTGAGTCTGTCGGCAGGTTGTATGACTTTTTTTTTTTTTTTTTTAAAACCGTGAATGTATTTATATGAAATGTATTTTATCTAGACTGCAGGTATCTTCTGTGTCTGGCTTGACCGAGGATTGCTATTTTCAATATGTATATATACATACACAACGGTAACATTTCAAAAGTGGAATACAATTTAAATGGTTCAACAAGTTTGTGTTCTGAAGGATCTGTATGTATTGCACAAGTTGTCTGTAGTTACTGTCCAGCACCTCACGGTCTCTGAAACTGAGCGTACCTTAGAACTTCTCAAAAGCAGCAGCGAGTACGTGCGGCAGATGTTGAGAACAGCCCAGAGCGGGTCTAGAAAGTGGCCTTTCTTTCAAGAAACAAACTAAACGTGGGTGTGCTGCAAAAGACAATTTGATACACATCACCTTCTCAAGCGTTTTTGGAGAAGGGGAAGGGTTACATCAGGCTGCCTTCAAGTATGGGGATTATTTGCAAAGATAATACTTGCACTTTGGCAAGAACTTTATCCTTGGTTTTAATGAATTCTAAACCTTTCTGTGACAGAGCTAGTTGGAGAGGTAAGAAACAGAGGATGAGCGAAAATGTCTCGAATTCTCGCCATTAAAAATAAGGAGCTAGGATGCAGATGAAATGACGGTATGTGGCTTCAAAACCATTACGTGATAGTTACAGATGACATCCTGCGCTTGACTGAAAGGACATACAATATAGGGTTGAAGTGTGAGGGAGCAGTTCATTTACTAAATGTGAAGGTTTCAGAAAGCTTAAAGGAGCTGCAACTTTAAATTGAAATTATCCTAAGTCTGAGAAATGAGTTCAAAAAGAAGCAAAATCCAGTTTGGGCACATCTGATACAAGATTGTATTTAGGCCCTTTGCTTCAAAAAACACGGGCTGGCTAGAGAAAGCCTGAGTGGAAGTACAGTAATGGTGGGACTGGGAAGCTTGATCGAGGAAGGAGGGAAGAGGAATGGCGCACGACAAGGGATGATTAACCTTCAGTTACATACAATGTGACCCCAACAAAGGCACAAAAGAGTTGCCACCAGTGGAAGAGGAGGAACAGAGAATGAGTTTACACTAAGTGATATTTGTGATTAGACATTTTAAAAGAAACACAGAACTTTAAAACAATTCCTTACTAAATACTAAACTAGTTGCTCAAGATCTCTGCCAGTGAAAACCTTCAGAGCCTCAGAGTCGAGGAGGGTTAAACAAACGCCCTCCGGGAGCAGCTTTGGCACAGAACGTGGGGTGGGGGCTGGAAGGGGAGACCTGGTTCCTCTACCAAATGCAGCAGTAACACTGCAGGTAACAGTAAGGTGTCATTAAATGACTTGCAAGGAAAAAAAGGATAAACAGAGAAAGTAGTGAATGATTCCCTTGAGGGTAGGTGAGGTGGTGTTTAAGCAACCCAATGCAATTGTAGTGCCCGTCACAACATCAGAGAACTTTGAGCATTACATGGTGCAGAGAGCTGCCCACCTGGTGAGCCAATCCCTTGAACCGCCATTCCCTCCAAACACTTTCCGGCTTTATGAGGAACAGGACACGAGTTGAGAATGCGGGTCACTAATTTTGAGTCAAAAAAAACCCCAATACAAACCCAAATCCAACACATCCCAGAATGATAGTTTCAAACAACTCCATTGTATTCTTATTATAAATTAGTGATGTTCTACAGTTGCACGTAATGCAAGAAATAAATTCTCATTATGTTTTTGGTTTTGGTGTAGGTTTTTTGGGTTGGTTTGTTTGGTTTTTTTCTGAGCCTGCCTAATGGCTAAGCTCTATTTACATGAGGGTAAGTCATTTTCCCTCTTGGAGGCTAACGTTCAAACATTAGAAGCTTAAAAATAACAAATCTTGTGCTTCTTTTGCATAAGATGCCACACAGGTCATTTACAAAACACAATCAGTAAAACTTGCAGTCACTGCTTACGTGGCATTCTGAATGATGCACACAGAGTAACACTCAGATACTCTACAGCAGCGTGAACTTACCTGGACTAATAAACTCAGTGCTGCTGATTATTGATTGTTGGGTTTGGGGTTTTTTAAACATGATAGGATTACAGTAGGGTCAGCCAGGGAAGAATAGGGCTGACTGTGCTAAACACACATTTGTTGCCGTCATTTTCACGTAATGAAATTTGACAGTTCTGACAGAAACAGGGTGGTGACTGCACTATTGCTTTGCTACTGGGAGCTGTAATATCCAGCATCTTGCTACACCTTTACTGGGGAGAGACATGTTTTGAAGAAAATCAGATCCATTCTCTACTGACAAAGTGTTTTAATGAAACTAATTATCGCAGGTAATTTTTCCAAAACTGTCTTTAGTTGGAAGTGTGTAGTCTTGACATTAGACCAATGCTGATTAAATTAGACAACCAGAGCTCTGGGCACAGTGTCTGATCCTCAGCGCCCTCACCTGTGCTTTTAAAGAAAAAAAAGTCGGTTGCATTTTTCACTTATTCTCCCATTTTGAAACACCCATAACCTGGTTAAAGATGAACAGTAACAGAGACACCAGAAGTCACTATGTGTTTGTTCCAGGTGCTTATTTCCACATGCACCCTCACCTGTCTTCTAGTGCAATGACCACCTGTATGCTGTCCCCATTATTGCTGAAAATCCAGACCCCGAGCATGAATCACTAAGATACCACCTCCTATCATTAAAATGCTAAAGAAAAATGATATCATACAAGTTTTACTCTTTTAAAACACAGATAAGGGAGCTGTGGGGGAAGTCATTTGTACTTCTTCATTTGCAACGCATTGGACCACTAACAGGCCTAGTGTATAGTTGAGCCTATTTAAAAATAAAACTAGTGCTACTGTGACTTCGGGTACTGAGTCCACATATTGTTCCCGCACTTAACAAACGTCCCAGCCCCAGGAGGCGTTCCTTGGGGTTTTTATTTGTTTTAAACAACGCAGTATCTAACCTAAACCTTTCCTGTTGGATATAGATCAGGTTATTACTTACGGTGCTCCCCCAGGGAGCAAACACAAAGAATGGATCACTGTTCTCCGTAGC